AACCATTTATATGCGTTCAATATGATTCTACAATGGCTAAATGTTTTGAAACCCTAATTAACAATATATATATATATATATATATATATATTTTTTTATTACTCGATCCCAATATATAAACAGTAAAAATAATTTTATTTAATGTTGAATAACAACATACCAATTTGATTCACAATAAAACCATCACAATTTAGTACAAAAGCACTTTGTTTTGTTAATTTACAACAATTTTATTTTACTTTTCTGTTAATTATTACATCAATTCGTAAATGATATAATAAAACAAATCAAAAAATATTATTACTTCGTGGAACAATTAATGGCAAATACTAAACAAGGTGTTGAAATAGAAATATCAAAACTATTTTTATTTCAGTTGTTCGCCAATTGAAAATTTAGTAAACTTTCGGAAAAGTAAAATCAAAAATGTACAAAGTAACTTTTTGAAATACAATCAAACATATTGGCATGTTAATTGTGAAGTGTGTATATAATGTGAAAATTGTACCGAAAAAAAATAGTAATAAGTTTTCAATAGCTGTATCGGCAGTGTAAATTAAATATTAAATTTGTTTATGTCTGTGGAATTTTGTATAAAGTTATGTCTGGCAAACAAAGATACTTTAAAAATAGTATGAATATTGGTTCGCGTTGTGAAACACAACACAATGATTGGAAATATTTCACACCCCAAAAACAAATATTTCATATCCAAAAAGAAAGAAACGGGCGGACATCGCCAAACTCAATTTTACAATAATGAATGAATAATAATCAGATGCAACTTTTGGTAATAGATGCGATTTGTCATCGCTAGAACTGGAACTTGTTATCCTTAGCTGTAGGATAATTGCATTATAGGAGGAGAAAAATTATCTATAATATCAATATTTGGTAAGTCACTTAACAACAAGGTCATCTATGTCACGTGCCCGATTTTCGGTTTTAATAAATATCATTATACACAGTCAATTAAGTTAAATGTTTTCTTTTTACAAAAATAAATAAGTATTCTGTAATATTCATGAATAAATATTGGAAACACTTCCGCACCAGCTGTTTTCAGTTGAAGCAACACGAAGCGGCCTAAAAAAGGAAACCAATACAAGCACAATACATTTCTTTGAATCCTTTCACAACAAAACTATATTTTTGTAGTCCATTGCGAACCTTTATACTATTCGGGTATCTTAAGAAACCGCAAGGATAATCCGTTGCATAGGATCTTTTAATATTTATGAAAGTTCAATAGATAGGTAAGTAAATTTGGATACCACTGTTTTATGTTATTGATATGATCTGCTTACTTTCTAAATTCAGATAACAATATGCTGAGTAACAAATCATTGCTAAATGAACAACACATAATTGAAATGCATTCTCATAATTAACTGGGTGAGTACACAGTAGCGATTAAATGGTGTGTTATTTTTCTAGCTTTTAATATCAGACTTATGAAATAATAGCAGGGAAGATTCTTTTTTGTGTCGACGCTATTATACCTTCCACAAAAAGAATATTCAATTTGTCATTCCGTTTGCCACTCCTCGCAATAGTTTGGGCACGTTCCTTATCTAAATTGGCTGTAATTTTATATTTTTGATTATCATTGGGAGAAAAAACACCCTACCAAAAATTATATCGGTATTTTAAGGATTTTATAGATGTTTTCCAACCAAATTAGCTATATTTTTGGTAGGTATCACATCTTTCTAACTAAAAATCGTCAATAGGGAAGACATGGCACCATCGGCACTTTTTGTTTAGAGATCTATATCTGAGTACTTATTCAACAGATATAAAAACTTTGTTATTGATTATAAAAAATAGTACCAAACACATATGATAAATTAGTATAAGTTAACCATTTTTAAAGTTTTGTCAAAAAAAATAAAATTCGCCGAAGGTGCCCCTACCCGGAGTAGCTTCGGCATTTGATGGGGCACAGTTCCTATGTACATTTTTGGCATAATAACGCAACGGCAAAAACCAATTGTCCCATTGAGACCGATGATTATTGAACGTGTCCATACTATCCTCTTGAAGTCGCATTACATGTATTGTTTGTCTTCTCTTGCTCGTTTTTTCAAATTTCCCTTAAGACTTTGGGCAAACAATTTGTGGTGTCCAACTCACAATTGACAGTCTTACATTGCTCAAATGAAACAATCGCTTCATGGCCAGCTTTCAAGCGTTATTTTTACGAACAACTTTCGTTAGATTTGACTCCTCATCGAAGACCCATACGGTCGGTTGTTTTTCGGTTTCGAGCTCATACGTATGGATCCATGATTTGCAATTTTTATACCCTCAACCTTATAACTAATGAGGGTATATACACTTTGCTACGGCCATTTTCTTCCCAAAACTCGGAAAGATTTTTCTCTGAATGCTGAAATGTTGAATTTTAAATACAACAGGGTTTGAAAATATTTAATTTTTTATATTTTTCAAGACATTGTTATTGTACCATGGTATCAGCAACGTAGCTCCGAAGTGAATTTTTTCACAGTAAATTTCTGTTTGCAACAGCGATTTTTTTCATTTTGTAATAATTTTGCAAATTGTACTAATTTTTCTCCAGTTTTTCTAGGTTTATGTCTCAACCGCCTTTTCATTATAGTCCATGCATTTTCATTCGGATTTGCAATGACACTTCTAATTGCACTTGTATTTATAAAGATCAATAGGTCTGTATTGAGACCACACGTCTTTATAAAGTCCAATTGGTCAGTACAGAAACCACAGGTCTTTATAAGGATCAATCGGTATTTATGAACCCTGTTTTCTCTATTCACACAACAACTATGGTTCTTTTCATGATAATCAGTCAATATTTAGATTTTTGTGTGAAAAAGGCCAAAAATTTCATTTTATGGCGTATATATATTCACACTTGAAGGGTAGAGACCGACAAAGTTGACAATGTATCCGAGAGGAATGGTTGAAATTCTTTTATTTTATTATTATTATTTTTTTTTTGAATTTCAGGATTTCAGCTCCATCCATTCAAATTGTACCAAATTTAATACTATTTAGTACTTTTCGTATACATGAGTACAAAGTTCCAAAACCACCTCCTTATATCGACCATACTTCTCAACCATAATTCGCATTCCAAATTTCAAACTTTAAAATTTCTTAACTCTATCCATTCATATGGTATGAAATTGTACCGAATTTATTACATTTTAATACTTTTCGGATACTTATAGTTCGAAACCCCATTGCTACATTTATCCTACACTCCATCGGTGGCCCTCATTTCAATTTTAAGAGTTCTGCTATTTCGCCAAATACAAATTGTACCACATTTAGTACTATTCGTGCCGTTCTAGTACGAATTTCCAAAAACCCAGCCTCATCTGACACCTTCGGACTAAGAGTGAGCCCTATAAGTTACAAAACTAAAATTTGTTTAAATTTAAAAGTTTTTTTTTGAAGTTGTATTTAGGAATCGAGACAGAAGACTCGAGATTATATTTTAGAGTGAAGATTGTCATCTCAAAAACAGCCTGCAATAGCCGCAAACAAACATATAAAGGTTTTTCTGCACGAACTTCACCTATATCGATTTTGCCCTCCTAGGTTATTAATATACTCGCCAAGAACTTTCATACCCATTCCAAGGGGTTTTCCACCCCCACAGTATTATCGGATTATATCAGTAAGTTTTTATATATGTATATTATAATTAGGATTTGACATCGGTAGCATATTTCAATTGCATTCTGTTCTCTGGTTTAATTTTGAATATAATTTTCTCCTTTTCTCCTTTAATTTATCCTTTCTAAAAAAATATCATTGCTCGACGACCGAGGCGACTTATTTTTGAAATATTCTCCAATAAATTTGTATACCCTCCACCATAGTATGGAGGGTATATTCATTTTGTCATTCCGTTTGTAACTCATCGAAATACTAATTTTCCATATATATTCTTGATCAGGGTAAAATTCTACGACGATCTAGCCATGTCGGTCCGTCTGTTGTAATCACGATATTCTCTGATTGAGATAGGGTGCTGACATTTGGCATAGGTGTGTCTTTTGTCTGCAGGAAGGTCAAGTTCGAAGATGGCATATATCGGTCCACGTTTAGGCATAACTACCATATAAGGGTACCCCCCCCCACAATTTTCAGTATTTTGGGGGCGAGTTTTTCAACCGAATTTGCTTATGCACCAAATCATTGGGTTCTTACTGGGTACCAAATTTTTCCACTAAAAATTTTAAATATAGCTCCACTTTTTCTGGTAGTCCCCATATAGCGGTACCCTTAATTTTCGCCCCCTTTTACGAATAGTCCCCATATAACCTCTTTTTATACCCTTCACCACACTGTGGTACAGGGTATTATTTATATTAAAATAGTTAGCTGTTGTAATCATTTCACCTGCGGAGGATATCCGGATAAAAAACTAGAACGTATGGTTCGATAATGAACATTATATGAACTATAGTCCGCAATTAGGCCTAGCCCCTGTGTGGGAGGTACCAGAAGGAGTAGACCGGTATTTCCCATTTTCAAACTTGAACTAAGTTTGGAAGAAATAATAACATGGGCAAAGTTTAGATGAAATCAAAATTGGTCTAGAACCAATATTTCGATGAGACACACTTTCACCATGTCAAAGTGTATACACCCTAATTAGCCATAAGGCTGAGTGTATAATTTACATAATTGGTTTGTAGAAATGTCGGTATAGGTCCACTTTTTGGTATGTTCCCTATATTTTCATTTCAAGTATCTGTCAGTATATCTATGGAGGAGGGTATCCAAAGTTCGGGCCGGCCGAACTTAACGCTTTTTCAATTGTTATTTTTTTATATTTTATGTGAATCCATTTAACAATAAACCCCAAAATAAAATAAACTACCGAATATTTTTCTTATGAATGAATACAATTTTTCACACATTGGAATCTACAAAGTTATTTTAGTGCTTCTAATTTCCTAATGAGAGTGCAGTACAGTGAATACATATATTTCACTTAATAATTATTTATCTTCCATTGACATCAGCATCGTCATAAATGAACCTGCGGTTCTATAAACCTGAAAATAAATGTAAAACAGGCCATTGGTTTTGGCAATATCCCAAAACTAATTGATACGTACCCATACAAATAAACTTAAATCCGTTGTGAAAAATATACCTCTTATTTCACAAGGCTTCTGGGCTCTTATCATGGTCAACAGCAGCAATTTTTGCGATTTGATGCTCAAATTATGCCAATGGAAACTTTCATAGATGGCCCAATTTACAGAGGTGCTCTAAAAATATACTTTTGTTTAATTTTATAGTCGTTAATGGAACCTACTTACCATATCCTGAATATTCTGACCACCATGACAATATAACATCAGCTGTGTGGTCACGGCCATTAAAAATGATAGATTAAACAATTGATCGGCAATCTCACCACCCAAAGGTATTATAAACGACAGACATGCCAGCTGCATACAACTAACCAAAAATTTAAAGAATACCAAACCTTTGTAGACTTCACTAAAACGTTCCGACATTTGAATGATCCGCCGATGATATTTTACACAATCAATTGTGGATTTGATAAATTCCTCTTCGTTGTAATTACCCATAGCTTTGTGCATAGTTATTCTTTCGGATATTTGGCGATAACGTAAATTTAAAATACGAAATTGGGCCGAAATATTGTGCACAAACCATGAATAGAGTGTATCAATGGACAAGGAACCCATGACAATGAAATAAATACCGATGACATTCCATATAAAGCAAAGGATATAGATTATGTAGGACTCTTTTGGGTTTGTAAAATATCTGAGAAAAAGTTGATTGGGAATTGTGGGTTAATTCGGGAATTTGATGATAGAAAATCTAATTACTCCGCTTTAAATGGTGTATCCAGTGACTCCATAAAATCGTGACCCTGCCAAGCGTAAATTGAAGCAACACCCAATGGTGCCAAAGTTGCCAGAACTCCCGTTACATTTACCATCGAATAATAAAATGTACAAATTTTGGAATCCTTCTTATTTTCATCGGCAATAATTTGAAGTTCCTCTTCGTTAGCTGCAATAAAATTTAGATCTTCAAACGAAAATTGTACCCATTTATTAAAATCATTCCTCACCTTCAAATGACCATAACCAAACTTCACGCACCAAACCGACAATTTTCTTTCGATTTAACATAAAAACAAACAATTTCACAATGGCCAATGAGGCCTGCCAAAATGGTGAGAGTGCCGCCATTGCCTTACCCAAATCAATTTTCATATTATTGAAGGCGTAAATGCCCATTGGACCGAGTACTGCAATCATACTCACTAAAGGTATAAAAGTCAGCCATGGTCGAAACATTGTTCGCTTTATCGATGTCGGATCCAAGCCAATGGCTGCGAAGCTTATTTTTTGTATGAAAAAGAATTTCTTAATCGATGTTTGTGTCTGCAAGGCATCCGGTGCCTTGGGTACGTTAAACATTTTCGTTATCACTTATCACTTATCCTTAGAATAGTGAATCGAAATTATCCTTTATTTTTATATGAACTTATTTTCCCATGTTATGTCGTTGCACAAAGGCCGGTAATAAAATTGCAGGTTTGCTCATTGATTGATGAAGACTTCCGGCATTCAGTTGTGTTAACTATTATTAAACTTTTCAATGGTGCATTTGACATTTCTTTAATTATATGGTCTTGCTTACCCATCATGTCAAAAATCGAATTTATTATTAATTAAGGAAGTTTCTTCTTAAAGCGTTGTAAATAAATCTTAGATATATGAAATTAAACAAATAAATATATTACTATCATACATGTGATTAAGACAATAAACTGAATTACCGAACAAACGCCAATATGAGGGAGATAAGTTATCGCAAGAGTTATAATACCCCAACATTACATATGCTATTCAAAAGATTGGGTTTACTGTATCCGCAGTGGAAGTTGCGAATTTTCGACTATGGAGAGTATAATATGATTAATAGTTTTTATACCCTCCACCATAGTATGGAGGGTATATTAGTTTTGTTTTTCCGTTTGTAACGCATCGAAATAATTTTTTCCGACCCTATAAGTATATATATTCTTGATCAGCGTAAAATTCTATGACGATCTAAGCATGTCCGTCTGTCTGTTGTAATCACTTTAGCGTCTAAGCGAATTGAGATAGAGTCCCAAAATTTTGCATAATCTTTTTTCTGCATGCAGGTCAAGTTCGAAGATGGGCTATATCGGTCCACGTTTAGGCAAAGCTCCCATATAAGGGTACCCCCCAATTTTCGGCATTTTAAGGATATTTTATGGAGCGTGTTTTTCAACCGAATTCGCTGAAATTTGCTTTTTTGAGTTCTTATTTGTGTAGCAAATCTCTCCAATGAAAATTATAAATATAGGTCCATTTTTTCGGACAGCCCCCATATAAGGGTACCCCCAATTTTCGGTATTTTGAGGTTCTTGAGCGCGTTTTTCAACCGAATTCGCTGAAATTTGGTACTTTGAGTTCTTATTGGGTAGCAAATCTCCCCATTAAAAATTATAAATATCGGTCCATTTTTTGGGATGGCACCCCTATAAGGGTACCCCCCAATTTTCGTTATATAAGGTGTTTTGGTCGTATTTTTCGACCGAAGTGACTGTAATTTGGTACTTTTAGTTCTTATTGCGTACCAAATCTCCCTACTAAAAATTATAAATATAGGTCAATTTTTTCTGGTACCCCCCTTATAACGATTCTTGAGCGCGTTTTTTTAAACGAATTCGCTGAAATTTGCTACATTGGGTTCCTATTGGGTACTAAATGTCTCCACAAAAAATTATTAATATAGGTTCACTTTTTCTGGTAGTCCCCATATATCGGCACCGCCTAATTTTCAGTATTTTGGGGGTTTTGATCGTATTTTTCTGCCAAATTAGCTGTAATTTAGTATTTTGAGTTCTAAATAGGTACCAAATCTCCCCACAAAAAATTATGAATATAGGTCCATTTTTTCGGATAGCCCCCAATTTTAGCGGTACCCCCAATTTTCGGTATTTTGGGGTTCTTGAGCGCGTTTTTTAAGCAAATTTACTGCAATTTGGTATTTTGTAGTCGTATATGGTAAAAAATCTCCCTACCAAAAATTATTAATATTCGCCCCCTTTTTGGGGTAGTCCCCATCAGGGATGTACGCAGGGACGAAACGATTTTTTTTTCACAGTAAATTTATGTTTGCAACAGCGAATTTTTTCATTTTGTACAAACCAATCTTCCGGGATAGGCGGAAAATCAAATTCTGAGTCTAAACACGATGCTGGGGCTACGTATCCCAAAAGGACTAAACGGACTTTACGAAAGAGAAAGAGGGAAGCAATTGGTAAGGAGCCGCAATCTTATGCAAAGATTGGCAGGAGGGGCTATGGAGATCGACGAAAGTAATATTTCCGCTGAACTAAAACTGGAAAAACATAAGGAAGTTATTGATGCGATCTTTTTCCTTTTTCCATAAGTCGTTTTTGATAATGAGTTCTCAGTCACGCTCACACGCACCTATTCTAACTTTAGTTGTTCATAACACTGATCTAATGCTATGAATCATTAAAAGGCTTCGAAGCCCGGAGAAAACTAGTAGCAAGTATTGTCTCCATAAACTAGACAATTAAACTCAAGCTGTTGGAGAAAATATACATTTCAAATCTACAAAAAGAAACTACCTTCCTCACGACCGAACACTTTCTCGAAGTCTTTGGTCTGCAGAACAAGACAAATGAGAAGTCTTCTTCTTGTGGTAGTCTTCGACAGGCCTTCAATGGCAAATCCATCTAGGTTTTTGGAGCCATTAAAATAGGCTGCGGCCATCGCAGCTTTAAAACGCGAAGCAATGAACGAGCGCACAAAAACATAGTACTTTCTACAATCGTATACACAATAAGTACTTCATTTGAAGCTAAGATACCGGACAAAATTCATGTGAAACTAGAACCCTAGCACAAATACCATCTGGAAACTGTTGTTACAAAGATGGCTTTCGCTAGCATGAAAGTTGGAACTGAGATTTTTTATCGCCTGCCAGATCACAATAAAGGAGTGTCTAAATAGTTATGTTTGAACTCTGGTCCTTTCTAACCCGCACAACGCGCTTTTCACAGGATTAATCCCCCAAAATATATATAAACATAAATATAAACATATTTAAAATCCAACAGCTGCACTATAGGTAATATATGGGGGCTACCCGAAAAATAGGATCAATATTTATAATTTTCCCCCCTCAGCCTTATGTATCATTGGACCAAATCCGTTTCAGAAAATTTGAATTCGATTTACAAAAGTCCTTCCATCGTCGTCTGTCTGTCTGTCTAGTTGGCTGGTGCGTACGATAACTCTCGAAGGGAGTTATCAATTTCATCCAAACTTTGCGCTTTGTCAAGCCTAGATCAAGTAGGAAGATGGGACCCATTGGTGCACTCATTCTTGTACCTCCCCCACAGTGGGTCAAAAATGTCAATATTTATATTTATAAACTTGAAAATTTTGTAATTCCGAAACCATAGGCTTAGGGTCGCTAACACCGACTGACACTTGTTGATAGAGAGGTTTGGTACCCAATGATAATCCAAAATCCTCAAAATACAGCGAATTTGGAGGTACTCTTTTATGGGGCTACCCCAAAATGTGCAGACAAATGACAACCAAATGCCAGCTCCCTATCTCAATTCCTTCAAAAAATAGCTTGATTGCAAACGACGGATTGTCTTAGAATTTTACCCTGATAAAGAATATATATAGTAAATAGTATATTAATATGTTGGAGGGTATAAAAAGGATCGGCCATCTTATCATAAGCTATATTAAGGGGACCCCCCCCCCATTCTCGGGGTCAAAAATTTTGTTGATATAATTCGAATCTACACTAATATAGAATGTGTCTACAAATTTTCAAATGAAAATCTCAAGAACTCTTGAAGATATAGCCGATTTATTGTGTCAGCATCAAGTGACGGCTGAAGGGCTTCTCAAACTTTAAACGCGTTTTTCTCTAAACATTTTTTTGCGAATGGCGGGCACGATAACTCAAAAACTAATAATCCAATCGATTTCAAATTTTTACACGTTTCTCTGTGAGTGTATAGCTATCGTATGAACTAGGATAAAGCCAATCGGTGAAGATCTTCCTTATTTTTTAACTGGGTTTTGGTAAAAAATCGGCGATTTTCCAAAAATATTTTTTCAAAGGTCCGCCATTTTGTTAATTTTAGAGCGAAGTCAATAATCCTAGTTCATACGAGAGCCAGACATGTACTCTTTCTAACACCGTTGGAATTTTCGGATTCCGATGTTCCAGTGAGGAGTTATCGTGCCCGCCATCAAAAATAAGGACTTTTCTTTAATTACAAAAAACAACAACAACAAAATTTTTTTGTAAATTATTTTTCTTCTATTTTAAATATTCAATTATATATGTGTAAAGTTAAAAACCTTAACAAGCATTGGTATTGATTTACAAGCCCATTGAAAATCTTAAAAAATTGAAAAAAAAACGGGGATTGGGGGGGGGAGCCGCCCCCCTGCGTACGTCCCTGATTGGGGGGGTGTCGGTTCCCTTAAAGCAATCAGCCGGCATATAAGAAGCATTTAAATATTCAATATAATTCCGACGTTTTTCATGTTTCCAAGTAAATGTTTATTGCGATTAGCATGTAGATTCTAGGTCCATACTTTGTGTATGTATACATAGTTTGTTGTATATAATTGTGTATTTATTTATCTTCCATTGACATCAGCATGGTCATAAACGAGGCTGCGGTTCTATACACCTAGAAATACAAAATATATACATTATGTTAAACGTTGTCATTCATAACGAAGTATTTTATACAAACCCAAACGAACAAACTTAAATCGGTGGTGAAAAATATGCCTCTTATATCGCAAGGTTTTTGGGCTCTGATCATGGTCAACATTAGGATTTTCTGCGAATTAATACTCATGTCATGCCAAGGGAAATATTCATAGATTGCCTCATTTACAGAAGTGCTCTAAAAAGAAAAAAATATTTTTTTTTCCATTTATAGACCCCAATTTAAAATAACCACTTACCGAATCTTGAATTTTCTGACCACCATGGCAGTATAACATCAACTGCGTCGTCACTGCTATCAAAAAAGACAAATTAAACGATTGATCGGCAATTTCTCCACCCAAAGGAATTATAAATGACAGGCATGCGAGCTGCAGACAACTAACCAAAAATTTAATGAATACCAAACCCTTATAGACTTCACTAAAACGCTCCGACATTTTAATAATCCTCCGATGATAGTTTACACACGAAGTAAGAGATTCTAAAAATTTCTTTTCATTGAGATTTCCAGCCGCATGATGGGCAATAAATTTCTCCGACAATTGACGATATCGTAAATTTAAAATACGAAATTGTGCAGAAATATTATGAACACACCAGGAATACAATGTATCAATGGATAGGGCACCATTGAGTA